CCCAAAACGCCAAGGGAAGTTATTGGTGCATAAATCTTCTGAGTTGACATCTTGTACTCACATAACCAGAGCTTCTTTCATTGACCGCTCAAACTTCCCAGCTTTTCACTGCGCCTTCAATAAACTGCATTGAAAGTACATGGTTTGTCTCCGAATTTTTCCACAGACGGTATTTAAAGAAATTACAAAATGGGTGAAGAAGGGCTCTCTCACAGTCTATGGGGGGAAGAAAGGACCAAAGAGATCTTTTGATTCTCTTTAGGCAGTTTGGAGCATGGTGGGACTCAGATGCCAGGAGAGTCCAATGGGGTTTATTCTGTTTGATTTACCTCCTTATATCGCACCACCTATAAGATATTTTATAGCGCAAGTAACAACTGATGTCAAAGATTGCCAGAAACCCCAAAATAGTTTTAAGCACTGTAAGATGTCCTCTACGACAAGTTTGCCAGCCTGTAGCTTCATTTGTCACTGCAACCTCAGAACAACCTATTTGTGTGGCCCTTCCATGTCACAGCAGTTGAATGAAGACAGATGCTAATGCTCACCTTCTGGGCTCAACGGGCTTGTGATCAGGGCTGTGTTCTGCCGGAGTCATATGTATTTCAGACATAAAAACCTTTGCTTCAGTGGCATTAGGGCTGACAAAGTGTGACATTTACCCTGCATGACTTAAAAGGCAAAGGGATAAGTTATGAGATCTCGTGGTCATAACGAGGTGGGATTGACTTTGCCTTAGTTTTGAAGCTTCCCACGTAGAGCTCAACATGTGAGCTGCTTGCTGGGAGCTCATTTCACGGCAAGAAACCAACATTTCCATGGGTTGATTCATCTGACCAAACACAGGCGTCTAATTTAGCACCAAATGCATCAAGCTCTAGACTCTACTCACTGCATCAATTAGACCTCTCCCGGCTTTGCAGGCAGCCTGGGGCAGGGATATTAGCGCAAATGGAGACATCACCATGCGAGACGCCTGCATGCACTCAGACAAATACACCCTGCCTGTCATCCGCTGGATTTGCAGACGCTGTTATCAGAGCGAATTTCTCCCTGTCTCCAGCACATGAAGAATTACAGGTCACATGGCACCACTAATCTCCCCGCTCTCAGAGGGCAAAACTCTAATTGCAACCTAAGAAAAGTGAATATTAAAGACTGACAAAAGGAAGAAGATAAGCACCTTTGGGGAAGGGCATGAGATGTAATTTCTATGCTAAGAGTAGAAACTGCCTCATCTAACTTTGACCATCTGCGTGTCAGACTCCAGCGAGGTGAGGTAGACAGTCCTCCACTTGAGCCCCTCTCTCAAACGAGGAAACCCAGTTCAGCAGTTTATCATCTAACTTTTAAGTGGCTACAATTAGATGAGATGGAGCCCATCTAGGTGGGTAATTTTGCATCTGAGCTTAATGCATTCACCACTTGCAAATGTAATTTGGAAAGAAGGCAAGCCCGATGCCTAGAGTCCCTGCTGAGCCATTAGGCAGCTCCAGTTAATTGCCTGAACGTCACTAATTCCCTGTACGGTTTCAAGACGTCACTCTGGGCCACAGCCAGGCGGTGTGCACAGGATGACTGTCCAGGAACCACTGTAGCTCCAAGTTTGGGTCTTCCTTGTGGCTATGAGGAAGCATGGCCATCCCTTTGCAATCCATAGCCAGAACGACGCGGCTTGGCTTTGTTTCAGAGGCCACTTTTCATTAGGTTTTTGCTGTTGTTAAAAAAGACAGTTGCTTGAGAAAGAGGAGGTGGAGAAAGCCACAGCTTTGGGACCTGGGCTTAGTCCTCACCAGCTGCTGCTGGTTGACTCGACCAGTTGGTCTCGCCATCGCTTGCTCTCCCTCCATGGCCCGGCAAAACAGGAACTGGCTTTGCATGACGTTCCCAGCCTCGAAGGGGTGAAAGCCCAGCAAGCCCTAGGTTTTCCAGAGCTTTCCCTTCTTGATCATTAGAGTCGGGACACCAAGGTGTCCCCAGATAAGAGAAGACACAAGCCTGGGCTGTCGGTTGCAGTGCCTCATTCTCTTGCTTCAGGGATGAACTGCAGACAGGAGTCTAAAATAGCTTCCTAACATTAGCAAGGGTGACTTCTCCCATCCCAACCAAGGAAGCAGTAGGCGACTGCCTAATTTCAGTGGGAGAATAATTATCTTCTAGTGGACTGAATAATAGAGAGAAGAAAGGAAGATGATACTACCTCTTCCAAAACAAGGGCAGCTCCTTCCCTCCTCATGTTTGAGCCAACACCCAAATATTCTTAGCTATAATTTTAGCAAACCAAAGAGGAAAATGAAGGCTGCATTTATTTGTCTCTATGGCTACAGCTGAATGGGCTAGCTCTTAAGGTTTTGTCACAGTAGCAAAAGGAAAAGGTTCATCTCAAATGGTTTTCAAACTATTCATTAAAGCTTGTATTACAAGTTCAGGAACATTTCCTGATAAGTAATTGCTATTTTTCCTTCCTAGATTTTTTTTTTTAAATCTTGAGTATTGTTGACTATTTTTTTGCTCTTCTTTCTAATAGCAATTATCTTAAACAAACAGTTGTTTTAAGCTGGGGAACTGGATTTTCTGTCAGTTAAAAATAACCAGAGAAAACCTTTTGATAATTGAGAAATGTTTCATTCAGTTCTTTTAGTAAAAAAATATTAATAATTTAAAAATACCATTCCAGAAATTTTATTCTATGAAATGTTTTAGTTTTGATGTTTTGGCTGACCAATACAAGCACTCCAAGCCAAAGCCTACCGTGGTCAAGAAGATGAAGAAGAAAGTGGGAAGAAGCAAAGCCATGGAGACTAGGTGCATGGTCCAGGTCTCCCCCATCACCCATGGGGACAGATGGGCAACTCGGAGGGTGCCCCCTCCGAAACCCAAGCATATCTTGGGTGTGTTGCAAAAAGAGCAGTATGAAGACAGGGGTGATTGTACTCCTGCGTCAGGCAACCTCCTGTAAATATGTCACCACCCTTTATATCCAGCATTTTCCAGTTCAACCATCCTGTCCAGGGTGGAATGCTTCTGCCACAAATTCATCTTCCAAAAAGACAGCCTTATCACACTGACCTACTCAATTTATAGACTAGAAAGGGTGACTCACCTTCTCCTAAAGCATCTCTCGGCACTAAATACACCAAGACAAGAATGCGGGAAGAGGAGGAAGAGGTGGGACTCTTACAGGAACAGAGAGAAAGTCATCTCCACGAAAGTCATCTCCACAGCGTGTCTCTGCAGTATGAGGCAGAAGAGATGGCACAACCACAGCAATCAACTCAAAGAACACACTTTGCAGTAAATATTTGAACTGGTAATTAACCCAAGTGGAACACATTAAACAAGGAAGTGTTCTCCGAGCCAAGATTGCCATTTAAGCTTTTTTACTTGCTCATTATTCTCTGTGTGTGTGTGTGATAGCTACTATAATGTTTTTTCATGTCAAAAGCAGCTACCAATTACCACTAGCCAAACAAAACCATGCAGGCTCAAAGACGTTTGTCTCATCCAACCATGCCCAACATAAGGGATATTTTCAAAGTCTGCCACTAGACGGGCTCTTTCCC